TATGAAGGCCAGGCAAGAACACGTCTTGGAAGTCGGGTATTCAGATCATTCATAACGTCCCTAGATGTATGCTTAGGGTCGTTATCTTGCTGAAAGACCCATCGGCCACTTACCAATGCATCAGCGTTGTTGTAAAGTTGTTCATTTAAAACTTTACGATATAGGTGGTGGTCAAGGTTTTCAGTAAAGATATGAATACCGACCTTCCCTTTAAAATTGATAGCACCCCAAACATAAACCTTAAGGGGATGTTTTATTATAGGTTTTACAGGTTTCTTTTTACGAGACCATGGTAGCATCGTATTGCGAAACAACTGGATAGTTGTTTCGTCTGAAAAAAACAACTTTTTTCCAGTTGTAATGCACATGATCATGACAAGCGGTTAATCTTTGCTTGTTCTGTTAGAAGAGGAACTTTTCTGGGAAGAGTAGCAACATAACCGAGGTTGGAAAGCTCACGGTGAACAGTTCTCTCACTAACTTCGAGATCTTGGTATTTTTCTTCTAAAATTACCACTTCTTATACCTTTACCTAATCAAATATTAAATCAATCATTATAATAATAATTTATTTTTTTATAATTCACTATATTAATTTTCAATTGATTAATTACCTTTATATGCTGGATGTAGGAAAAAACACAACAAAAATTCATCATACTCAAAATCTTGCCATCTTTTATTATACTTGTAAATACAATAGTCTCGGAATTATTTGTTATATTCTTTTGGAATTGAATTTATAGCTACTGCCAACTTAACTAAGTTGAAATAGCAATCAGCTAAATTACAACCATCTGATTCTAATTCTACAATTGAATTTTTTATTTGTTTTAATAAATGAGACAAATCTTCTAAATTGTCAAAAAAAGTTCCTCGTTTAAGAATATTCTTCACTTCATTTGTAACCAAATCATCATTTTCTCTCAAAATCTATTTATAATTTAAATAAATATTAAAAATAAAGTAAATAAAATAAATAAATAAAAAATTGTAAAAATAACTTACTAAATCAAAGCATGGTTTGAGTCTTATGATAGATGCCACTGTATCATAAACTGATCTCCAATGTGTCTCACAATATTTCTTCAAACCACCACCAATAATGTTATTTTTATTGATGGTTTCTTGCAATATATTGGTTGCTCTATGAGACCTTTTAAAAAATCTGACAACAATTTTGCATTTAGAAATTAGGCTTTTTGCAAAATTATGTTGGATAATATCTTTGGTCACCAAATTGATACAATGGGCTATACAACGTAAGTTGATAATGTGTTTAAATTTATCAGTAATGATTTTCCTGGCACCACTCACATTGGAGGCACCAATGCAGAAAACCTAAATGAGCCAACTTTATTCATAATTTCTTCAATTTGGGTTGCAATATATTGTGCAGTATGGCTTTCAGATGATAGATCACGTAATTCATACAAATATTGCTTATGATCAGGTGTATATATTACAAAACTCCAAATTGACAAATTCTGAGGACTAGACCAGCCATCAATTGCTATTTTAATTATTGAATTTAAAAGTAAGTAAAATAAAATAATAATAATGATAATAATAATGACAATAATGATAGTCACCTAAAGTCAGGTTTTTGTTATTTTCTAATATTGAATTTAATTTATTATTGACATTGGATATTTCAGTATCAAGAAATTTTCCAGATAAAACACTCTTAGATGGTGGTTGATATGCAGGACGGAGTTGTTGAAGAAGATCTATAAAGTATGGATTACTGACAACTGAAAAAGAAATTCCACAGCAAACAAATGCTTTTATTAATGCCCGGTTAATTGAATCATTGTGCTCTTTTGTCAACAAGGTGCTTTCATAAAAATTTGAAATTGGTTGTTGAGTTGATGATGATTCTAAAGTTTCATTATTATTATCATTGTTTATTTGTCTTAAACATTCTCTTCTAATTTCATGAGTACAACCAGGGCAATGGTTTGCCAAATGTGATAAAAGTTTTTGTGGTTGTCCATGATTAAACTTTTTTGTACAATACTTGCATTGTGCAGAGTAATGTCCTTTGGATTTTTCTTCACGCTTTTTAACAAAATGGATCCACACATTTGAGGAAGGTCTACCATTTTGTGGATCTGACATTTTTTTAAAACCAATTCTTCTTTCCTTAAGCAATATTATCTCACAGACTTATTATTGGATGTAAAAAGGAAGTGGAAGTTGCTAGCACAATGATTGTAATTTGAATGGTTTATGGTTGATATTATAATAGTTTATTATTATATTATTATTGCGTTGCTTTTATAGATTCAATTCAAAAATAAATAAAAAATTTATTTTATGTAATTAAGGGGTATCTTTCATATATGGGGGCTGTTCTAG